TTAGATATGGAAAGGCAGTTTTCTACTGAACCAAACAGCCTAGATTTTTGCCCTCTCTTCCTCCGTCAGCATTGAAATTTGGGCACATGTAACATCACGCATGTTTCCATTCTTGGCAGTACTCTTAGTATTTGCAGAAACACCACTAACCTGATTATTTCCACTAACAAAGTTATTCCATTTGAGCCCTTATGTGATGTTGATTAAAAGACTTAGAAAAGACAGCCAGACCAGTGGTTCTCGACTTTCTTAATGTATGACCCTTTAATAAAGTTTTTCACATTGTGCTGACCTATAACCATAAAATTTCTTTCATTGCTAATTCATAATTGTAATTTTGCTACTGTTATGAATAGTAATGCAAATACCTGTATTTTTTTTTATTTTTTTCGAGACAGGGTTTCTCCATAGCTTTTTGGTTCCTGTCCTGGAACTAGCTCTTGTAGACCAGGCTGGCCTCGAACTCACAGAGATCCGCCTGCCTCTGCCTCCTGAGTGCTGGGATTAAAGGCGTGCACCACCTCCACCCAGCATACCTGTGTTTTCTAATGGTCTTTGGTGATACCTATGGAAGGGGTCATGACCCACAGGTTGAGAACTACTGCCATAGACAGTAATAGAGGCTTTGTTTGTGTTCAGTTTCTGCCTTGTTGCCTATTAGCTTGATTTTGTTCAAAAAAGTTCTTACAGTTAATGTGAAATTTCTTTTCTTAAACAAGACTTTTGTATATATACATACATATTCATTAGCTTTCGTGAGTTCAAACATGATTGTACAGATCATAACTTTAAACCCATCATATCTCTTCTGGTTCCATCTTTAGAATTCCCTGCTCAACTGAGCTCAAGGTGAAACTAAATATTTATCTTTCCACCCAATAAAGTTTACTACTGAGGACTAAGGAGCTAAAGTAGTCTTAAAAAAAACCACCTCCCATCTCTTTTGCTGTTTACAACCAGATCCATTGCAAGTTAGGAGAGGAGATGCAGAGGAATTGTGGACCATCTTTGCATCTTTTAATATCCATCTACATAATAATCAAAGAAAAGAATTTGTCTCCATTTGTTGTAGAGTTCATGAGTGAGAAATATGGATGACTTGTCTAAAATTATACATTGATTTATACTGTTCTTAATTTTACAGATGTTCTGCCGATGAGTCCTCTTAAAAATGTGTTGTTGCTATTGCTGGCTTCGGTTTCATATGGAGCTAGAGAAACCCACCAAAGCTATGTCAACCTTAATTATGCTTGGCCCATGAGCTCCCGGTGCCTTTGGATCTTTGCGACATTGAAGATTTAGGAGAAGCTTTCAAGTATTTTGTGATGGTGGCTATCATTTTGTATTTTAAAGAGATTATTTTGTAAGGAATAATTTTAATACTATAGTTTCACCTGTATTGTAGTAAATGTTGAGATACGGTTGATTTTTTTTTAACTTTAAGTACCATTATTTTTTATGTTACTAGAATGAATACTGTTTGGTTTTCAATCTTTAGTTAACTGTACACTCATGAAACATACAGGTCTTTCAAAGTCATCCTAAATATTGAACGTCTGTAAATCATCAAGCTTCAAAAAGCATTCTTTTTTTTTACACAAACACTCTAAAATTGACTATGTGTAGGGAGATAGAAATAAGTCATACCTTCTTAATATCATATTTTTAATAAGCTCTTGGAAAAAGCGCCTAGAAAAGTATTGATTTTTCTAGCAAGGTGTTCTGGATTCCAGGAAGCTTCATGATTATCATACTTGAGAACCTTGTGTTTGAAGAACCATTTCCAGGCAACATGTAGCAGAAGTACCTCTTGGTATTTTTATCTTCTCTTTAAGATGGAAGAAGCGGTTAACCCTTATTTAACATGATTAGACTTTTAAAGTAATCTCATTTAGCCAAGGATGAGGGTTTGGTTAAACTGGAGGAATTAGTCTGGCTTCAACCTTCAAATCTTCAGCTCAAATAATATTGTATATGCTTGGATTTAGAAAAGTTTTAGAAACCTTGTTGTCTTGTGAGTAAATACCTGATCCATAGTTATGAACATAAGGACACCAGCATCTTTTGTCATGGTAACTCAATTTTCGTAGAAGCTATTTATATATTTTTTCTTGATAATTATACACACATAAGCATTGTGTGTTCAGTTTTGAAAAGGTATTTAAGTGAACATTGTCTAGCTCATGTGAAAATACCATAGGGCACGAACATTTCTCTTCATACAAAGTAAGATAGACTGTTCAGTTAATTTTCAGTTCTATTTATGGTACTGTTAAGTGAGTGATACCCTCTTTTAGCCCTATATATATATATACTATGTTTGCCTAAGTGCTGAACTGGGGCTATAGTTTCATAGCTGTAGGCTTGTTGGCACTGATTAATTTTGACAGTTACGATTTTCGTGTTTGTATCTGCACATTTGATTTTTGCACAAATGATCTTTAAAATGTCTGGACAACTGCCAAATATTAAAAGAAAGGTGTTGTGTAAGTAAACAATAGAGTTTTTAGTTGAAGTGGCCATTACATGCCTTCTTTTAAAAAAGAAATTCAAACACTTGTGAAGGTATAGTGTTGTATGTCATGAAAATTCTTTTTGTTGGTGCCTGTACGCTAACAGTTGCTTTTACTTGATTGTATTTTGAAGTCATGATTCGGTTAGAGTTTTCATCAGTTCTGTAACTGAAATTCAATTACACTTTGTTCTCCACAGTGTTCTACAAATAATTGTGTGACTTGAATCATGGATTACATTCGTATTTTTGTAAAAATAAAATCCACCAGTTCATAAATTGATTATGTAAAACCTTACCACATAACTGCATCCCAAATACAGCTTGTATTGCTTGTTCATTGGAGCTTTTGTCCCGTAGACTGTTTCTAGGAAAAGCATACTTCAGTGTTTGGGGGATTTTAAAAATAAATATTTAAACTTTATGATCCTTGATGCTTCTTTTCTTGAGGGTAGGTCTTATATGTTATTCTAATTGTTTTAAAATACTTCTCCTTTTCCTTCTATTATTGGAACATAACCAAGGTTTACTAAGAATTGATTCTACTCACAGGTGAACACATATATCCTGCCTCCTCCCTTAACAAAATTATTAAGTCCTTTCAAAAATGTCTTCAGACAACCAACTCACTGCTCTCCGTAATTACTATTTTAAATACAAATCACATACAGATTTGAAATTTATCGTTCTGAAGGAAAGTGAACATTTAGCCAAAGTGTTTAGAAATGAAAATGAGATAAGGAAAAACCATATAAAATATAAGATTTTGAATTTCTTGTGGGGAAAAGATTACAGGTAATTTTTAAAAAATGATAAAGATCTCTATAAATTACACCTAGGTGGTCAAGCTTCAGTATATGCATAGTTTTCAATAACTACTCTACACTTGTGACTTAGTGGATTTGTGTCCAGGAATAGAAGAAAAGGAGTGGGTTGAAGCACAGAAAAGCTGTTTTTGCTAAGGTGGAGAATAAAGAAATCTGTTGTCTACCTTTTCACTTATTAAATCACATAGAAAATTGTTTATTCTATCACTTCACTTCTTTGACATTTATATTTAACACTGGCTTGAAAATACATTGTACTTAAGATTATCAACGAAGTTCTTGAATAGTCTTCCTTGAGGATTGGTAGACAAATATTGAATGGATCAAGAACAGAATTTTGAGGGTTGGAGAAATTGCTCAGTGCTGAAGAACACTGGCCGCTTCAGCAAAGAACCTAGGCTGAGTTTCCTAGCACCAACATGGTGGTTCGCAACTGTCTGTAACTCCCATTCCAAGGGATCCCACCCCATTTTCTGGCCTCTACAGGAGGCAGGCACACACATGGTATGCTTACTCATGCACATAACGTTTTTTAAAAAGCAGTCAAACTGAGCTTAGCACCATGTTACATCACTGTAACCGCTAGCACATGGCAGGCTGGGGCAAGAGGATCAGGAGTTGGAGACCACCCTCAGCTTCTTGAGAAAATTAAAAAACAACCACACAATAGAATTTTTGGTTCCTTTCAGATCCTGGTGGTGGTGCTCTCTCTTTTTGTCTCACTCAGCCCTTGTTTCCACGTAATCCCAGCCATTCATTTTCTCCTATCTCTATTCTTTTTCCATCTTCTAACTATCTTCTTCTATAGATATAGGCCACAACCATCTACTTCGGAATTCTTATTAAAACAAAAAGAAAGTCATACGTATAACTTCTGTTTGAGTGGATCTTCCATTGTTCTTTATTAAAATTATACCTCAGATCCTTGCCTACATGCATGCAACCAAGGTATGGCAAATCAATAAACAAACTTGCTTGTTAACATTGATTTCCACCATATATCATAAGTAGTTAAGAAGAGAGAAATTAGAAGTCAACATCATAATATCTTCATCAGGCACACATCTGACATGAGAAATGGGCCTAAACTAAGAACCTCCAGGATTGAGAATTCTGTTAAATCCTCTATTAATTCTAAACATGTTCTGCTGAGAGGAACTATGCCACTCACTTACGTATATTGACATTCTTAGTATATAACAAAACTGATCACTGGGTCCCAAACAGGTCATCAGGAGAGAAACCATAGTTTAGTGTTACATAAGCACAAACACAAACCCAACATAATCATGGACTACTGAAAATCACAAAGTGGCATTAGAAGCCAGTCCCATACACCAACCCATGCCATTGTTCTTCAGCTTTGAAGATGGTCTTCATTTATAATATCTGCTCAAAGAAATGTTGAATGGTGATGGCGTACACCTCCCTCACACTGCCATAGGAGAAGGCATGTTCCAGAGTCTGCTCGGAGGAAATAAAAGAACGAAGTTCCTAGAAGGAGACAGCAACTTAATCTTTCATAAACTGAGTGCCAGCAGTGAGCAGACTCCATTAGCATCAATTAAGATGACTAAGGAGAAGGTATATTGAAAGGCTCTTAGGTCTTACCTAAAGCGGTAACAGGGAACAGGCCAGGAACATTCACAGAGTTCACTCTTTTAAGCTAAGAAATAGTTGCATGGCTTCAGCAAAGTCCTATCTTCAGCATCTGGCATGGTGAAAGAAATATCTTCTTCCTCTTCATCTAGCTGTAGACTACCAGACGACAAGCGGATTCGGGCCCTAGGTGACTTTGTGCCTTTGCCATACAAAGAGTAGTAGTCTGGTTTCAGAATCTCCGATTCTGAATCACTGGACTCACTAACTACGTATCTTTCTGCCGAGCTCTGATCCATTACAACCGTGGGGAACTCCTGCTCTGCAAATGTACAGGTAAAGGGTTCTGTTTTACGAGTCAAAGCAGGACAAGGCCCTAAAGGTCTAAATTCTGACCCAAAAGGAAAACGGATAGTTTTCATGTCTGAATGGCTCTGAGATCGTTTAGGAGTTTGCTCTTTAAGGTTATATGCAAAAGCATCATCCAAATGTGGATCTTCCTCCCCTAGGTCTACACTGATATTGCTCCTCCCACAAGTTCTAGCCATAGCTTCTTGAAGGTCTTGCTGTAAACTTTTTATCCTGCTATTCCTGGGGCTCCTCTTGACTGGTTTTACTGCACTGGGATCTAGATAGCTGTCTGATCTGACATTTTCTTCTGCCATGACTGGAGACCGCCTGGGTACCTGGGGTGGCTTGTCCACATAAAAAAAGACTTGAGGAGGCATGATATCAACCTGCTGGCTAGTACAAGGAATATAGGGCACATCGGTGTATGTGAGCTGCCTTGCTGGACTCACTTTGCTGGGGAAAGCAGGAGATGTGCTTAAGTGATTGTCCACACACTTCGAGCCTGTCTGGAAGGAGCTTAGAGGGCTCCGTTCCTCAAAAAAGTCTATGGGCTCCGGGTCAGTGTTGAAGACAGGATCTGCATAAACAAAGGTGAAAGAGGAACTGCTTTGGGATGGATGGAGCAGTGTGGGATCTGCCTCTGGTTTGGATCTCTCCAGCTCGGCTGCAAATGTCACCTCTACCGCCGAGTTCCTCCTCCTCTTGTCTAGCATAGGCTCAGATGTGTGTGTTCCATCCGCATTTCGGTAGTAGCCGCTGCCATAGGGAAGTCTCAGGTCTTCCACCTTGAAAACCCAGATATGTTGATGTCAGTTGGGTTAGGTTAGATATGTAAAGAAAGGGTAATGCCTTCCACCATGAACCAAGTTATAGGTTAGAAAATACATGTGGCACTCTTCATTCTCAGTGACATCTCATTTCTAGACTCCACATTTCACGGGTCCTTCAGGTACCATTCTATTTCAAGCAGTTCATTTTGGTAGCTATGTCAAAGAAGTAGCAATCCCACGCCTGTCTGCCTTTGTCTAGCTATGTGCACCTTAGACACCACGGTCTTACATTCCTACCCCAGCCTCCTCTATATTTTCTGTAAATAAAAGGTAGAAAGGAGAGCTGTGCGTGGCCTGAGAGATTCATAATCTCCATGATCCCTTTCAGCAGTTACATCTGATGCCTTTTGGATAAAGGCCATCTGTGACTTGAGTGAAGGCATGGGAATTTATGGCGCCTACAATTAACTTTTGTAGACAGTACCAAAGAAAAATGATGAACAATCTTCCTGATCTAAGTCTCAAATGAGGCGATAATTTTACAGTTCCAAGGTTGTAACTGTATCTAGAAATCATGTTACCCAAGTAAGAAACAACACCGTATGTCTTTCTTGAAGCCTTATTGTTTCTACTTGATTTAAAAAAAAAAAAGAGCTTTTAAATTTAAAATTACGAAGCCATACAAATGTATTATTATCATCTGAATTTTTCAAGATGTTGATAGGACAGATTGCAATTTGAAGGTACACCAGGGATTTCACTTGTACACAGTACACAGTTGTAGTTTACAAAACGGCACTGACTGTGCCAAGACCTCCCCAAGCGACTAACCCCGTATGGAGTGACCTTGGTACACAGTAGGTAGATCTGGCAAAATCAACTCTTGGAAGCATTTGAAGACTGGATGACTTATACCTAAAGAAGTAGGGCTTTTCTGAAACCTTACTTGTTTGGACACGTCGGAGAGAATGTCTGGTGATGACCTGCACTGTCGCTCGTGATACTGAGATGGGTACTGTTTCCTGTAAGCCACCAAACAGAGAAGTCATTGAAATGCCCACTATGTAAATTATAGGCTGCATAGACATCGCTAAAGTCAACTTCCAATCAGCATGAGAAGCAAGAAGGAAAAGGGTGCACCTTTCAAACGGCAGGCTCTTTAACCTCCCTTTTTTCCCATACTCCAAAAGTTGCCTTTGAGTTCTTCCACTATTGTAAAGAAAAGACAAAAATCATTAATTCCATCCTAAGACTATATGCCACTAAAACCCGACACCCTCATCTTTGAACCTTAAACTGTCTGGATGAGTGGCATGCATTGTGACTCTCTGTCATACTGATGCTATACCTACTTCTCTGGACACCAAGAATAGAGCAAATTCATCTACCCAAAAAACAGGCTTTAAAAAACCTGTAAAATACAAATCCCAACTGACTCTTACTCTACATATTCATTCTAAGGAGGCTATTTAGATTTCCAACCCAAGGTGGATGCAAAGCAGCTAACAAAACAGTGAAAAAATGCATCAGGTAGGCTCATACGGGTAAAGATGTCTGGTTGAGTGCTGGGAGAAACACAAGAGGCAGGAAAAAGTCACAATAATAAGAAAATCCAAAATTTCGGGGCCATTTAGCAAAGGGCCAGACCTTATATGCCACCCCTACCTAAGGCTATCACTGCACAACGGCCTGCAAAGGCTAAGAAGGGAGTTTTATAAGTCGGGTCATTAAGACAGAGCAAAATATGCTCAATATCATCTGTTTAAGAACATAGGGATTTGTAGAGTACACTTTGGAAACATTCCATCAAAAATATGTGTTTTAAATATCTCTATTCTTCCAAGGGCAGGTTTCCAGGGTCTGAAAAATTCCTTATGTGATTAGAATTATTTTTGCAATCACTAGAGTTTTGTAAGCTTCTCCCCGTGGATTTCAAGGCTAGTGTGTTCAAATAGAAACAGTATCTCAAGTCTACCTCTCTTCAATTCCCCTAAGGTGGAAACTTCTCAATACAGGATTGTTCCATCTTTCAAATCTCTTGACCCGCATCCAGTGTTTACTCACTCTATCTTTTCCCTAAATGCCATTAATAGATATGATTGACCGTTCCTTCCACATCCTGCATAGAAGCTGCCTTTCAGGGAGACAGTAAGTTCATTGAATACAATTTTTCAAGTACCCTCTGCTACCCTACATCCTCACTGTAATTCTGACCCAACCCCTTTGGTTAGTAAATACTGACCTAATGCAATGCAGCAAGAATGAACAGTAAGGAATATTTATAATCTTTCAAGTGACTTAAATAGATTCTTTATTACTTCTGGAATTCCAACTCCTCCCACTGTTTCCCATGGACTGAAAAGAAACAGTGTGCATGGTCTTCCCATGCACGGAGTGTAATTACCTGTAGCGGAAACTGGAGCCCTTGCTGCAGAGAAGGGTCTTGGGCTTTGACTTGGGCTCTTCGGAAAGCCTGAAGAAAGCATGGTACTCCACACAAGTCTTCCAGAAAGCCTTGCACGCATCTCGGTTAGCCATGGTAAACTCCAAAGTGTCTTTGTACAACACCTATATAAACCATTTTCTATCAAGCAAAACATCCTGCGAGAATACCAAAGACCTTCCAACCTTCGAAACTAACAGTCTGGCAGCCCATGAAGTGTCTGCTTTTCTGTTTGGCTCCCCGTAGTCTCCACAGCGCTGGAACCAAATGAATCGCAACCTTCCAAAGATCAGACACTGCATCCACTCATGCGCCAAGCCTTGTCTCAGAAGCCAGGCTTGCTTCGCACACTCCCCTCCCTTTAAATGCCGTTCTGCCTTGCCTCTTTGCTGCCAGAAACATTTTAGGAAGCTGTAAATTAGGTTAAAATGAATATCAAAGGGCTTCTTTTTCAAAGTGGCAAGAAGGTGTAAATGACCAAGAGGCAAGGGGAAAGGGGAGATTTCATTCTTGCTGTGAGGATGATTAAATGTGTAGGAGTGTTTTCAATGACCCAGCAAGAAATACACCTGCCTCTATGTACTTTCTCATACCGCAGTGCTTTGTATTTCTTTCTTGGCATAGTCCGTATTTTAATGTGTCCTAAGGGAACTTCGATTTACAGTTCTAAAGTACAAGCTTTTCCCATCTTGAGTCACCGTGTACACTCGTTGGCCCAAGGCTCTATGGAGGTTCCCAGATGTCTTTTCAACAGCCCCACCAGCAGTCAGAACTGACTTGCCCCTCCTCTCATTTCCTTCCAGGTTCCTGCGTATAGCCCCTGAGGCTCCCCATGAAGTTCACACTAGGTCTGGTCCCATGAACTATTCAAATGAACGCCTTTACATAACACCAAGATCTAGGCAATGTAATTCAAACTTGATCTTTTATAGGTTCAAATTACTTGATACACATATAGGTTTTTTACCCCTTCATGGTCAGTCATTAAAACATCTTTCCTAACACCTTCTCAGACTAACCATGTAGTTGATGTTTGATATTTTTCTCTTAAGGGAAGTGTGTGAAGATACTTTATAAAATATAAAAGAGAAGGTCAAACAATTACTTCTGTTGTCCTAGATCTGGTGGCCCCCATTTAACTCATCAGATCCCTCAAAGATGCTATCCACAGAGACTTGCCTTTCAGTCCAGCTGCCTCATTTTCCTTTTGCATCATTTGTTCTGAAGTGCAAATCAGATGTCATAGTGTTTTGCCTTTAGTTGAAGCATCATTAAATCTCTGCTCAGTTTATATAGAGGACAAAGAGGGATCCATCACCCCTCAGGGCCAGGCACCTTTCACCATTTATATTCAAATCATTTCTAGAGCAACAGCAAAACTCCAAGTGAACAGAAATAGAATGTATTAGAAACCTACTCACCAAAATATTAGCATGAAGTTTGATGAGAAAATGTTTTCTCTTAAAACTCAACTTGCGAATCTTAGCCCAGTTGAAAGTATTAATCTTTGTATTTCCCTATAAAGAAACACATAGCCAGTTTCAGAACATATCTGCATGAGTTGGGTTGTGCCACAGTAAAAGTATGATGGAAAGTACTGTTCATGAATAAGAGCCTGTGGAACTTAAACATTGCAGGTAGGGAACAAGACCACAGCAGAATGGATTGATATAATGCCCTCTGTGATCTCACCCCTCCCTGTCTGCATACAACAAGTGCTAAAAGAAAAAGCCTGATTATCCTGCTGCCTCATTTAACTAATAAATCTTCAGCAGTTCCTCGCTAGCCACATCATTAAATGTGGGCTGGGTTTTGTTGTTCAATATACAACCATCTCTCCCACTGCTTGTTACTTCAAACTTCTGTCTATATCTGTACCATCTGTGACCTCTTCATTCTCCCTTGCCCCAAATGCCTTCTGCATCGTCCGACTTCTTACCAGTGCTGATAGCCCACTCTCTGGGACATTCTGACAGCAGTTCATTTCTAGCTCCTCTAAGGAATTTTGGTTTTAAGCAGAGCAGAAAAACCAAAATTGTTTAGCGGAGTTGAGGGCTTGGGGACAGGGCGGCGTGATGGTAGAAGACAATGGCCCTTCAAGTTGACTTCTAACTTGAAATCCCAAATCCCAGGGAAACAATGGTGTGGTAAACAGCAGCAGTTGCCGGTGGTATTCAACATTAATTCCCTACCAGCTGACACCGGTTATGCCCAATGCAAAGAGTTCTAAGAAAGGACGCATCACAGTTTGGACCACTCAGGGTGGATCTTAACCATCTGGCACGTACTAAAGTCAAAGATTCCCTAAGAGCCTCTTGATTTTTCTCACTTCACCATGCTGGCCTAATCTAAAGTGTGATGGTCTCAAAGCCCAGACAGTACATTACTGACCACACACAGGGGCAAAGCACATTTTGGGGAGAGGGCTTTTGCACACCATTTTATTAGCTCTACTTCCCTTGTAGTTGGTGGTATGACAAAGCCCTATGACCCTCTGGGGAACAGATATTCAAGTTGAAGCCAGCACACTGAAGGGCACTCAAGGGAAGAGTTAGTACCCGTAACACCAGTACTCCCATATGAGTAACAGCCAGGTGGATCTGCATCCCTTCGCCGTCGCTGGCAGGCTGAGGTCTGATGCCATACATATCCAATTTCCTTGCTATGTCCAGTAGCAGAATGTCTGATTCAGCTGGGCTCCGGCCCCTGCAATGGGAAGGGATTCGTGAGCCCAACAAATGCAGCAAAACTCACCCCGCCCCTCAACCTTTTCTCCGAGAGATGTACACAGACTGAGCGTGTTCTTGGGACTGAAGCTTCTCAGACGTAAAGTTTGCTCTCAAGAGTCGGTCCTAGCTTTAGTGTCCTCCACTGGGAAAGCAGGGGCCAGGGGACGTACTTACACGTGCTGTTGGTGAAAGTGCATGATCTTGCTCTCTAAACAGTCTTGGCTTGGGAAATACTGGGTTTGTACCAGATGCTTCCTAACTGTTTCTTCATGAAAGTCTCCTAGTTCTGCTGTACAATAGAAAAGTGACAGTTTTCACATTTCCATTGAGGAATTAATGTACAACCTAAGAAACTTCCCATTTAGCCCCCAAAAGCCTTTTCTCTGCAGCTAGTGTAGCCTAATCCCCCAGCACGCCCCATGCTTTGAGTATATTTCTGTCTGTACAGGAGGGAGTAATGGACTTGTTCTCACATCACAAGCAGCGGGTTTCTGTGAGCTCTCAGCTTGGATTGTGGGTTACACACCCAGAACAGACATTAAAAGGTCCAAAATCCATTTTAAAAGAGGAAAGCCACGCACACAGGGACTCTCAGATGGGTACACAGGAAAAAAGATGACATGGGGACACAGAAAGAAACTGCCTTCATCAGGATGACGAAAGAGGCTTCGAACTAAAGGAAACCTTCCAACACCTTCATTTTAGACTCCAGCCTCCAGGGCGGTGAGGAGTCATCGGCTCATTTAAACTTTCCAGTCCTCGGGATTTTCCTATGAGGAACCTAGTAAAGACTAACACATCCCAAATTTCCTTCTGCTATGACTAGCCATTGTCATAATCAGAGAATAAATATCAACTAGAGTGCACACTAACTACAGCCAAGTCATCAGTCTACCCTTGGGCAATTTAGTAAATCCCCAACAATTTGAGTCCCTGACAGACAAATCATCCTTTCCAAATCGCTGGAAGTTTATCAATGAAGCTAATTTACTCTTTTTCAGACATCTCCAGTCTTGTTAGAGACAACTACTACAGGATAAAGTCCACTCTGGCAGCTATGCACTTACAATTCTCTGCCCCTACTGTAAATGGCATTTGTCTTCTTTGACTTTTGTTCTCTTTGGAATTGTTATGTTCTTCTGGGTCTAAGATTCATATGAGTTATTTTCTGATTGTTTTTTCTCCTAAAGTCAACGTTTAGAGCACTTTGTTCTCCACTGTTGATTTTAATCTAAGATACCTGGACAAGAAGAGATATAGCCACACCTATTATTCACATATGTCTCTCTCTCTCTCTCTCTCTCTCTCTCTCTCTCTCTCTCTCTCTCTCTCTCTCTCTCTCTCTCTCTCTCTCTTGCTTATAACTTCACCACAACATTTCTCCCTTCTATGTCCTCCCTCCAAAGCCTTACATGTACTCTTCCCCACTGTCCTTCCAATTACGACCTCCTTTTTCATTAATTGTTATTGCATGCATATATGTATATACATACATACTATAGGCCATATATAGTGTTTAAGAGTAATACACTCTTTGTGGAATCCTGTGATATTCTCATTTTGAGTAAAATACATGTACATGACTAAGAACACTATATAAATAAGGAACTAAAGAAACCATATTCAACCTGATAAAAAGTTCTCTATGAAAATAATCTGTGGCTAACAATATAGTCATATCACATAGCAAGATAATAAAGACTTTCCCTTAAAGGCAGAAATAAGATAAAGAAGCTTGCTTTGGCCACATTACCCAGAATTGTACTTATGAGCACAGTAAGTACAACCAGACCAGGAAAAGATACTTGAAACTTTTGTAATGTAAATAAAATGATAAAATTGTCTTCTGAAGATATAAAGATTTACAGACTTCCAGTTTTTACAGATTTACAATATTTACAGATTTCCAAGAAACCAATAGAGAACAATGAAGCTTAAACGAAAAGTCAAGAACTAAATTCTCAGAGTTCTTTTTGACAAAGCTGTCAAGATAATGCAGTGAAGAAATAACAATCTTTTCAATGAATTGTTCCAGCACAAAGGGAAATACATCTGAAAAAATACAATACAAACCAGTTACAGTTAAATCATCACTCTGTCCATCGGGAATCTAGCAATGCTACCTGAATCCCTTCCAGATGAATCCTTCTGACCTTTCTAAATAGTTGGCCATTTATCTGTGACCTTATGTAACACACCACACAAGTATACTGGAAGTGAACTCAAAATGGATCAGAGACTTACATCTAAGGGGTTAACCTAGGAAAGACCTAGAAGAAAACTAAGAAGAAGAATGTCTTGTGGCTATCAGAATTTGTTTTAAAAAAGAAACCATTCTAAAATTCAATGGTAAGATAAAACATTTCAAAATGGGCAAAAATATTTCAATGGGCATGGATCAATCTCTGTCTCTCTGTCTCTGTCTCTCCGTCTCTGTCTCTCTCTCTCTCTGAATAATCACATGAAAAGGTGTTCAAAACAATTAGTTGGTCATTTGAACAATGCTAGTCACAATTTTTATGTACCCACAGTCCTGGTCTCTCAACCTTGACCAGAGAGGCCTCTTTTTGCATTGGGCAGCTGTCAATACAGAGACTCCTAATTGGTCAAAGTACTGTAAATAGGAGATTAAACTAAACTGAATATCCTCACCACCAAGCATAGTTCAGGAAACAGAAAAATAGGGGCAAGGAGGCAGAGAGAATAACAGGGTTGGAGGATGGGGAGGATTGCTGTAAGATGCTGTCCTCTGAACACTATGAGGCCAGTGCACTATGAACTCCCAGCAGCTGTGATTACCTGCACAAATCGAACGAGCCAAAATTCTGGTACAGATAGGGCAGGTGATCTCTAGGCCCCAGTCTTTAGTGTGGAGCTACTGGCAGTTCATAGCTGCTGGAGAAGGGAGAGAATCGCTCTTCTTTGAGGGGATAGCCACTGGTAGATTTCCTGTGTTCCAGGGAATGGTCCCGTATCCATGCGCATGGGGCAGTACTAACTGGACTTAATGGGTTATCAGAAACAAAACAAAACAAAATAGAAGGTATGAAGTTGGGAGGGGCATATGTTGGGGGATACAGAGGGAACTAGTATGGAAAACCAGCGGGGTCTGACCATATTTCATTGTAGGAAATATCAAAGAATAAGAATAAAGAAAAAAGCTAGTTATCCAGGTAATGAGCTATTTCTTTCTACCTACTAGGATAGTCATAATTCCCAGTTATATGCCCATCTCTGAGAGTTTTCTGTGGACATTATACAAGTGTTCTAAACTGGACTGTAGCCATAGCTGGATGGACATGAATTTACTAAAACCCATTGGTCTGTGCATTATAAATGAGAAAATTCTACAGCATGTAAATTATACCTCAATTGAGTCATTTTTTTTTTAGAATACAGCACACACTCACACACATCATATATGAACATCTTTCAGGTTCCTTAAGAACAAAACCCTATAACGATCATCAGGAAAATGTAAGAACATAAGTCATTGTTAATTTCCTCTCTGTGTGACAATTTAGCAGGAAAAAAAATGGTATTGCCAGTAGCAGAAATTGTCAGCTGCTATGTTCAAGTGTTAGGTCTTTCTGGTTCAACTCCTATCACCTCTTTTAAAGATCTCCTCTTATCATTCTGCCTACTGCCACCATTCCCTTCTAAGTGCTAGAGTTTATCAAAGCAGCCAATATGGTTTTCTTACAACTTAATTCAGATTTTGTTCTTATATTTAAAACAGTGGCCAAGAATTCCTTCTGATGGAGGTGCTTCTGATGATCAAAAGGAAATGGTCTTTTTTCTCCTACCTCAGTCTTCTGTCCCTATGGTTCCTACCTCATTTAGAGTCGTGTTCTAGACCTCCAGTGTGCCTGGAACTCCCCTCTACTTACTCACTCAGGCTGCAGCCAGTCACAAAGCCTTCTTGATGTTTCTTAAACACACCAGGCAAGTCCTCCCCTCTGGCCTTTTCCACAGAGTTTTCCCTATGTGTGGCCCTCTCTGTTACTAGACTTGGCTCCTTTGCTCACTTTTGTGCCTCCTACAAACTATTGTTCAACTGTCCCCTTTATGCTAGGCTTACCCTCCCCACTTTATTGCAATGCCCAGCACCCACACCTAGAATCCCCCATCTCCCTTCTATGTTCTGTTTTTCTCCATTGCTCTCATTCCCTCCGAACATTCATATGATTTTTTTTTTTTTTTGTCATTTTGGTCAATGTCCGACTCTCTTGCTCTGCCAGAATGTGGGGTCCATGAAGACAAGGGTTGGGTCATAGCTCACTACTGTGCTCTCGATGCTTATAATAGGATCTAGCAAGGTGGCACTTATCCCATAGTTTTGTTGTTTAATGAATGATGAAGAAAGATCATACTATGTGTTTCTAAGAAGGACTATTTATCTAAATTATGCAAAGAATGTTTGGTAGGGACTGTGTGGCTAGAGGTGCATAAAAGACATGTAACTATTAAAATGCCAGAGCCAGAATGGTTGGGTTCTTGAATGTCTAGCCTACAGCAGGCACTCAGCAAATATTGGACCAGTGAGAAAATGGGCAGATAAATGAGCAATTGGCCTGTGGTTCTGTGTGTGACCTTGAGTCCTCTGAGTCTGACCGGGATTGACTGAAGTTCTAACTCGCTAGGCCCGCAGCTTGTTCTCCACAAAATCAATGTCTTTTGACTACATACCTTCTGGAAAAGCTGAAGTAGTCTGTACTCTATGTGAAATGGTCATTGGGCAATGCCCAACTCTATATGGCAGTACTGTTAAGAATAAAATTGGGGTCCTCCCCAAGAGGTCACCTGGAGCCCGACCCTCTTAAAATTCTTTCTAAAGAGGTAACTGGCGGAGAAGGAAGCTCCTCCTAGCTGCTCTACGCCACGCGTCATACGTCAGTGCCAAGAATGACACTGGGCATGTGGCTCGTGGTTTCATTTGTCACCATGTCTACTAGATAGACACTATTCTTGAGCTACGTGTGGGCATTCTTCATGCCCTGTGTACAGTGCTTCTTGAGCCATCACCAACTTTATGCTGCTTCCTCTGCCCATCTTCACATTCGGTTCCCATGTATTCCTTTAAGTCCAGTACAGAATCCATCTCCTCCACCAACTTTCCTTGATGCCTATGGCATTTTCCATCTGCTGCCTTTGTGAGAGTCCGGAGCTCTCTTTTCCCAGCTGGGAGTCACTTGACACACTGCCTAGGATGTAGTACCGATCCAAGCACTTCACTGTGTTGTTCTTAGCAACATCTGAAGTCTACCATTTATGGACTGGTAGAAAGGTAATGAACAAAGGTCAGAAATGAACTTAGGAAATAAACAAAAAAATAAACCCCGAAGTTATGATTCTGCAGGATTATCAAGGAACATTGTATTCTTGGGAGGCTTCTTCAAAATAGAGAAAGTCCAGCTGGCCTTTGCAAAGATGTTATCTCACACCGCCTAGCCCCTACCCTCCAGACTGCAGGAACAGCATGGCCTGGCCTGTGTAACTCCGTCCCAGGCAGGTCCCCACGCTTCCCCAGGCCTCCTCCAGTCTACCTTCACTGTTCTTGCTAGTCCAACTGCTGGGCTGCTGACATGCTGAGAACACTGGCCTAAGCCTGGTGCCTTTCAGTCTCTTTCCAACTTCCCCACTCCATGATTTAAGCTCTTCAGAAAACATGGAGCAGACATATAGCCTAGGGCAAGCAGAGGGAGCAGGGACTCCTTGGTTAAATCCAAGGCAAGAATTACTCAACCCAGTTCCTGGACAGCAAGTCAAGGGACGGTGACAACAGGGTAGGTAGATTGAAGTAGGATAAAACCAGCACTTACTTTTACCCATCAGAAGCACCTCCATGAGATGGCATTCTTGTCACTATTTTAAATACAAGAACGTCAGGCTCAGAGAAATAAGGGAGCGTGCTTTACAGTCATGACAAGGGACAAGATTTCATTCGGATCTCAATGAGTGTGATGAAGCACCACTTCACTGTCTCTGAACGAGGTCTTCTTTCCTCTTAATGCTGAATGAATACAGTGCCAAGCATGCAAACTGGAGGTGTTTGGCTCTGTTCCTGGAGAATGGGCGAGACATAGAGTTTTGGTACTTACATTGTAAGATGTGCGACACCATTAATGCTGTACAGTTGTCACTGCATGGGAGCCTTCCCAGAGCCAAGTCCTTCTTGATTTGAAGAGTGAAAAGATACCTACAAAGGATTGGAGGAAGAGATCTTGACAAAGAAGCAGGAATACAGAAGGAAAATTTCCTTTCTCCCAGACCCAAGCTAATTCTAAGAAGGAACACCATCCAGTCCATCAGAGGCCTTTGGGGGTGGTGAATCATACATAGGCTTTGCTTCAGAACCAACCCAATCCCAGCCCACAACTGGCTGACTCAGCACTTTGGCAGGTTCTGCGACTGTTAGGAATTGCCCTGACTGTAGCCTGCCACCAGCTTGAGGGACTCGGCCAATCCTCTACTAGTGCTTTCTGCTGTGGAAACGACCTCATCCTGAGCTAGAGAAGCAGGAGCCCCAGCAAGCACAGACTCTGGGGAACACCGAGAGCAGCCAGGTAGGTAGGGCCCTAAGAATTCCTGAGGCCGGGGGAGCATTAGCAATCACCACATTTTACAATGACGCCAAGCTCTTCTGAGCAGACTGTAGCGCTAGGGTACTGGAACCGGTGCTGGAACCTAACATCTGCTGCTGAATGTAGGCTTCCTACCCAAAGAGCAGATCTCAGGAGTCAAGGCAATCAAGCCAGGCCTGTGCCCACCTTATTCCTTTGTCTAGATTGCCATGGTACCGCCAATCGGAGCCCATTTGAGTACATTACAAACAAACAGTAGGTGGACAGCTAATGGCTGATGAGCTCGGCCATGCGGAACCTTCATCAGGGACCATAAAATGCAGGTTTGTGTTTAGGGTTCTCCCCCGAACTGGACTTAAGGCCTTAGGAAAGGAGAACTCGTGTGTGTGTGTGTGTGTGTGTGTGTGTGTGTGTGTGTGTGTGTGCTTGTTCATATGTGTGTGTACAGAGGTCAGAGGACAATTTTGCATATCAGTCCCTGCTTTCCACCTTATGTAAAATAAGATTTTAGACATTAATTTCGCTGGCTTACCAGTTTCTAGGCATGCCTCTCCTCTCAGTGTAAAAGCACTGGGATTATACCCCATGTCCAGCTTTATTTGGGTTACAGGGATTTGAATTCAGGGATTCACTCGTGTGTGGCAAGTGCTTTTTTACAGAACCATCTCTCCAGTCCCAGGGCCCATTTTTTGGTGAATAAGTGAATAAGAAAGACTCTACTGCTTTCTTGTCCAGAGCAAAAATCAGTTACAGTACTTTCTTTTATATACAAGCACATGCACTACCTATTCTATTTCCCTATATAAAATAAAATATCCTAGATTAGATTCTATGTGAAGTTTTCAGTGACTAATGCCCTGAAGGCAATGTAATAAAAGATAACTAGTTGCAGATGATAAATGAAAATCTGGTCTGAAGAATCTTGACACGTGATCATTTAGTTCATGGAAGCTTTAACTGTTATGTCTCTTCAAATTGTAGTGACTCTAATGCCCTAGAAATGATTCCGTCAGCATAGTTATTTTTGTATAATAGTCTCAGAAGTCCATGCATTGGCCCCAAACAATAAGGTATATTTTTAAACTCTACAACACGTAGGTTTTTATTCCTTTTAGTTGTCACTGCTGGAATGTGTGTTTCTTTGTTTGTTGTGACAGGTTCCACTTTGTAGCCCAGGCTGGCCTAAAATTTCCTACATATCCCAGGCTACCCTTGAATTCACAGCATTCTTCCTGTCTCGACCTGTGGAGTGCTGCAACTACAAGCATGAGTGATCACACCCAGCTCAGTTATGTATGCTTAAATGGAACAACAAGGAAAATCTACAGGAACCCTAACATTTACCATTGCCTGTTTTCAAATATAGTTGGATATGCTATTAATCGGTCACTTTGCAGAAGCTAGAGGGAATTGAAGTTTGTTCTTAGCAAGGAAAAAGAAAACCTTTTGTCGTTTGATTATCCCTCATTGAGAAAAAGGCATCACACTGCTTCAGTAGTAACAAGCACCACCTTAGAAGACAGCAGCCTGCTACAAATCCTTACTCTGAATAATTGATGAAATATTTATCATCACATTAATTTTCTCGTATTTTTGAGAAAGTTCATCCCCATCAAAATTGGTCATAGTTTAAAACCCAACTACCAAGATTTAGTGAATGCAAGCTAGTTTACACAGCAAGGAAGCGAGAGTGGTGGACAACAGCGAAATGTGGAGAGAAGCAGAGCAGGGAAGGCAAGCAACTGTGCAAAGGTGCAAGTCAGTCGGCTCCCTGTGGAAGGGAAAGGCACTAGGGAGATGAATGCCCAACAACCTGCGGTTTTTCACTCAGTCAACTTTAGCTTCCAGGATGTACTTCTTATCTGTAATCTAAAAGACCTCGCTCCTTTCTATGGGTAGCAGTGTCAGTCTAGAAAGCAGACTGTGTTTTGGGGGAGTGTTGCAGTGTCAATGCCATTTTGCCGAAGTAGGTTTTCACTGCAATTACCAAGAGCATTTCTCATAAGCATATATCATCATTACAGAATGCTTCCCTTTCTGCCTATGGGATCCTGCCATTCATTTCCAATGATCACGAGCATTGGCTCACCCCAAAGCTATGCTGATTGAAACACAGATGGCATCGAACAGCATACTATTGTGACACTTAACGGATTAAGCCTTGAATGCCACCCAGGTTTACCACTCATCTATTCTTAGTTCTTAAATTTGGAGAGATTAACATTTGGGGGGTCAGCCAGATCTTCCCTCTTTCTAGCCCTTCACCTTGATTCAGAGAATGACATAATCCCAAGCCATGCAAAAGGGAATCAGAGCCCCTTCTTCAATAGCTGGAGAATGGGTATTCTCAAGTAGCATCTTTCAGCACACACACAGTTAAACACTTTACCTTGTGAGTTCTTCCCGAAGGTGTCCAGGGTCCACTGGGAAAAATTTCACCATAAATTTGAAAACAACCTCCTTAGGATCTTAAAACACAATATCTCCATAAGTTTTCTTAAATGTTCATTACAACAGTTAAGACTCTCTCTCTCTCTCTCTCTCTCTCTCTCTCTCTCTCTCTCTCTCTCTCTCTCTCTCTCTCAGACACACACACACAGGCACACACACACACAGTGTTCTTTACATTTTGGGTTTTCACATGTATGTTGTTTTCATTTCTGGATTGTGACCCCATGTGTACAGCAGTTGAGTACGTCCTCCCAATCAGCCCCTCTTCACACCCTTTCTCCCTTCAGGTTTCTTTTGTAAAGATATGTCCACTGGGGGCCTACTCTGTCTTTTCTTAAGAAGTGAGTTATTCAGAAGACTATTTACAGCTCACTGTCTGTGAATGTCCAGCCACGCATGAGGAAAGGGCCCAGGTTCAGCTCAAGCACGTGAGTGGATGTCCTAAGGGTTTCATAAAAGGAAGGCGAAACAATGTGGGCCAGTGTCTCTATCAATCTTAAAATATACCCCTGAGAAACCACATTTGCACACGTTCACACCTACTTGCATTTGAAAATGAGAAACTTGAGGCTGGGGTGGAGCTCACTGGTAGGATACTTTGCTAGCATATACAAGGTCCAGGGTTCCATCCCCAGTACCAGAAGAAAAAGAATAAAGTTTGTTAGATTGAAAGTAACCGTACACAAGAAGGAACAGTTCAATACATCAATTCCGGGTGCTCTTCACTGCGGGATATTATTCTAAGCAGATACGGAAATTACAAGATACTCAAGTGCTCCCAGTCTTGTTGGAGAGACAAATAATTAAACAGACCAATTTGAGTACCACACAGCCTAGGTTGAGGAAGCCTTCCTGGAGGAACTGACAGCTAAGTACGTTAGCAGAGGCAGGAATTTAAATGGTAAGTGGCAGGGACAAATTGCTTACTATAGGGTCTAGAGCTTTGCGTACCATGTTAAAAAGGTTGAACTTCAGAGGTAATTAGGGAGCCAGGGAAGCATTTTAAGCAGAAGGGAGATGTGGTGTGGTCAAGATTATATATTTCAGTTGATCCCTTGAAGAGTGATAGAGATGCTTTAATTGGAGAAAAATCAGTTCAGAAGCTACTGGAATTGGGTGACATACATCACAGAATTGGGGGAAGTAGAGTCACAGGAGGCATCAAAGTGTGAAGAGCAGAGTGGACCAAGGAACCAGGAAGAGACTGAAGCAAGGTTTCCCAAAGTGTTAAGATCTACTTGCAAAAGGAAAATGCCTGTGCAGTTAGTTAAACGGCCATGCCCCTGAACCCTTGTCCCACAAATGAGGTGCCGTGTGAGATACAGGAATCATCTGAACATAAACTGAAGCAAATGGCAAGGCTGGCGATGGCAGGAAAGGAAAGAATTTTCAGGCAGAAGGTAAACATTCTCAGAGATTGACACTAAGGATGCTTGAGGCTTCACAGGGCGCGCGGTGAGATACGCTCCCACGCGCCATCTGCGGGTGGTGTAATTACCAGAACCCTTCAGATGTACTCCAAGACCAGCCACATGAGCTTCTTCAGCTCAGACTAAACTAAGGCAATTTTCTCTATTGCTAAACTTACTGGACAGATGAGGGGCTGAGGCAACCTGTCTAAAGCCCTCTTCCCCATTTCAGTAGGGTGAGGGGTTGTGTGGGATTATAGAATCACTTTTCCAGTGTGAGTTGAGGACGACATTCCTTGAGTGATCTTCCATACTTACTTTTTACTTGCTTTGTTATGGGCTTCAGCAGTTCCAGCCAAACCTGCAGTAACATCAGTGAAACAATTGGTAGAACACAGCAACAGTGACAGAGGTTTTTTTCTTTCTTTTTTTGGTACCAGATAAAGGTCAACATCAAATGAACAAACCCCGGGACGATTTAGATTTCCAGAAATAGTTGGTAACAAACAGTCATGTCAATGATATACCTTCCCCATTCTCAGAAAGCCCCCCTCGTAGTTCCCAGTGACAGTGAACACTGCTGATCTATAAACTCTGCATTGGTGACGATTCAATCACCACTTCCCTGCCTGGGTAGGATGATAGAGGCAAGACTCATCCCTGGCAACGAGGACTCATAAAAACATCTGGCTTCACATTTGAGTCTCGCCTTTCCCCTTGCCCATGCTCACTTAAGAATGAGCCTTTCTGGGAAGGCATCAGATTACAGATATGCCAAGGCAAGATGCAGCAGAAGAACCTTCTGAAAGTTAGATCCCAAGAAACGGGGAAAGAAATCTCCCTAAACAGTCATGAGGTCAGGAGTCTTAATTCTGGGGACTAAGGTCCAACCATTCAAAATAGATAAGACTCTGATAGCTGGTCAAAGAGTAACAGAAAAGGGTCATGAGGCAGAAGAATTTGTTTGGCAAACCAAGATAGCTTAAAAAACAAAGCAGGGGGGAGGGAAGTCGGTTTTAAATACAGTGATTTTGCAAGGTATAAATAGGTTTTGCATTTTTAATACGGGATTGAGCCTTGTGTACCTAGGTGCAAACTGCATCTTGAAGCATTTCTAGACACACAAAATCCTGTTTAAAAAACAAAAAGCACTTACATTATTTCCAGAATGACTGCAGAATTCTAATCCAAAATATTCCTTTTCCGAAAGATTAAGGTGGCTGCAGCTCAGGTTAAAGAGCGCCTTTCCGGATGATTTTTGCTAAACAAAACAGATTGTAGCACAGTTTGAGTTCCTAGCATGGAATGCATGATAAGGGGGAGAAGCAATGCCTTTCTTCAAGCCTTTCTGTTTAGAGGACCTGAGCACTGCAAAAAGACGTTTGGAACTTTACAGATACAGACAGATCTCCCTACAGATATTCTAGCCACATCGCTAAGAACTCCTCAGACTAATGCCAAGCCCTCTTGGAAGAGATAACCTTGCACTCAGCAGTCACTGATCTACACATTTATCCTTCACATAAAAAAAAGCCTTAATTCATTTATTGCAGGCAGCTTGAATGATTTTCCCCAAACCGACAGACAGTTTAATCAAGATGTAAATCTGACCCTACCGTAGCCCTACTTCAAGTCCTCCTTTGGGAAGAGCTTGACTGCTCAGCCAGGGAGGATGGCATCTCCTTTCTCTCACTCTGCCCGCTTGCCTCTCCAGCTGTGTCTCTTGCCCCATCTCCCGGAGGCATGGCTCTCTACTGATCTCAGCTTGCCTGCAGCTCTCCTGACATGTCAAGGCGTTTCATACCTCCGAGCCTCAGCGCATGTCATTCCTTCTCCACAGCCTTCCTGCCCTTCCCACCTCTCTTTGCTTTGGCTTACTCCTACTCAGCTCGGATAGCATTGCCCTAGGAGAGCTTTCCAGATGCTCCCTGAGTTCCCATTCACCCTGGCTTACCTCAAGCAGGGCACATCTTACCCTGCTTGTCTGCCGTCCCCCTTATTTGAAAAAAAAAAATCCCTCCATATCAAGAAGCAGCCTTTCTTTTCATTGTGACTCCTCAAGTCTGGCTCAGAGCTTGTTGTACAGTAGAGGCTTTTAAGGGATTGCTGTCCTAACCGCAAGTTGATCAAATTCATCATATGAGTTTTCTGAGTAAATTTCATTTTGGCAGCTTTGCCCGCAAAATCTCCATACAGCATGTTCCATTCACGCAAGTCCCACATATTTCTTCATAAAGCCCCCACACACTCTGAGCCCAAAGCTGTGCCACTTTCTTAGGCTTCTCTGGGAACCGGCACTTTGAATAGGACCGGCTCTGTGCAAATCTCATCGAACTCAGTATGGCTTTAAGGGCCACCATCACCCAACCCAAAGTGTCACGCTGTCGCAGGAAAGATGGCTATGGGAAAATTGGACCCTGGCTGACCGTCACAAAAACATGCCGCTGAAAACCCCTAGCTAAAGCAAAGTCGGAGGGTGCCCAGCATGCTGAGAAAGAAGCCAGGTGTGGGGTCACGGAAGTGGAGTTGCAAGTCGCTAAGCCATGGAATTAAGAGCAACTAGGAGAGCAGGGGTCACCCTAAGGCAGCACACTGAACAGTCTACATCTGGGATTTAATAGCTTCCAGGAAGGTAGCCCACCTCCCCACCACTTCCCCCACTGACCAAAACTATGCTGCTCACCCCCTTCCCTTTCCTCCTCTGGTTACACTGCACAGAACTCCAATTTAAGATTCATTTGGGTTAACCAGGGCCCTATTTTTAAACTCAGATAGGCCACAAAGGGCAAAAGAGATTGCACCCCCTCGCACCTGGAGAGAAGGCTGAGGGAAGCAGAGTGTGATTTGATGTGGGAGACCATGTTGAAGTTACTGGCCAAGAAAAGGGAGTCAGGCCTGGAGCTGGAAGTGGGGGTGCAAAGGGCATGGGGTTGTCTAGTGGGAGAGGAAAGGGCTGGCCAGGGGGGATGGGAAGTGGGGGTGTTTCAGGCCTGTGTGGCAACCTTGCCTAGGGCAAGTGCTGACACAGACCATTCCAGACTGATGAAATCGCTCCTATTTTTAAAGTCCTCCAGACAAGGAGCTGCCACGGGATTTTTATTATGAAGGAAAAAAAAAAGAATTTCTAAAGGGAGAAGGATGGCAGCAATACTTTTTCCAACACCGTTTCTGTCGTGAGAACTAAATCCTGGACTCCAGTTTCTTTGCTCTCTCTCTCTCTCTCTCTCTCTCTCTCTCTCTCTCTCTCTCTCTCTCTCTCTCTCTCTCCCTCCCTCCCTCCCTCCCTCCCTTCCTCTCTCCTTCCCTCCCTTCTTCCTACCTCTCTCCATTTTTTGGTCAGATTTTTCCATCACGGTACCTATTCTCTATCAACATTGCCATACTCTGTATGTTTATATACATGTGTTTACTTAAAAGCTTCTGCACTCACTAAAATACAAAGACAGTCACAGAAGGGTTTTAAGTAAGGCTTTCTTTTGGCCCCTTTCCTTCAGACCCCACCATGTTTATGACTATAATCCACCAATTCTCCCATCCCTGCAAATATTGCCAAATGGTTCCCGAAGCCTTTAGCATTTTTGCAGTTGGAGTCTGGGCACTCCTGTGGCTCAAGTATTCCACCCCCATCTCGGGACAGGCATTTCCCTTCCTAGTGTACGTTGAAATTGGCCAGCCTTGTGGAATGTGTTACATAATAGGTAGGATTTTTGGTTCTGTCTCAACATGCAACCTTTAATTTTTTTCTACCATTTATGATCCAATTCTTCAACGTTTGTATGTCCTTCACAGAATATCTGTTAATATACAGCTTTTTGGTTTTCTCCTTCAGGGCTTCTGATTTTCTGTATAATTATCTGCTCTTGTTTAAGACGGTACACTATGACATTCTAATCAAGCTCCTTTGTAGATCTAAAGCCTCTGCCATCAGTCAGTCTTCTTATATAAGAAACGGAGACTCCAATCCTGATGATGGTCCGGGTTTCGCCTCCCTTGGCTTGCCATAGAGCACTGCCTGCCTTCTAAACAGAACTTCTAATTGTGATGTATCAGAGGCCAAACCTAGAGTTTCCCATGTGTTAGACAAGCGCTCTACCACTGGCTACATCCCTAGTCCTTGTGTTGTTTCAAGCTAATGTTTCTGAACTTAGTTATATAATGTCCAATTTACTGGGTCATAACCATTAGAACTGATTTCTGGAGTTCCAAACTCATCATCTCACGAAGGTAATAATATTCCAAATGCTTAGTTTTAAAATTCAGGTTACGGAACTTTCTTTGTACCTAGAGTTGTCAGAACCTGTTTGTTAAATACATCTGGATTGTAATCTTTCTCTATTCAATAAATGAATGGAGGCAAATAATGTAGCTCACAGATCCATCTACCCATTCCAGGTACCTATGATTTTGAATATCTAGATGGGCATTCAATAAGCGTTTACTTGACCCAAACATCAAACTGGATTGGTGTATGTTACTATGACAACCCTCTCATGAGGAAACAAACGCTGTATGATCTTGGGGAAATGAGTGAACCTGTCTGAGCCTCACTTTGCCAGTCTGTGAAATGGAGATGATAGCAATTAAATTAACTCAGAGGGTTATCGTGAGGACTAAGCAAAATAATTCACAATGAGATCTTAGTCTGATGCCTGGCACAACATAACATATAAACATATGTAAAGTATGTATACACAGTGTGGATAACCTAGAGATAAATACAATTATATACGTATGGAATGATACACAGGAAACTAACAGATTTATTATAGTTTCACACAAAATAGGATTGGGGGCGGTCTTCACATATTTTTGCTGTGTATGTGGCTGAGTATTTTTAAATAGGCAAGACCAGTAGAAATTCTCTTGACCAAATTCCACTATGCAGACCAAGTTTTCCTTTCCCTCTTTAAAACAACAGACAGAATACTATGAAAAAAAGCCCACAGTGAGCGTGGGTGCTGCTGTACAACAACAAGACCCATGCTTATCAGGAACTATTTTCTTCACCGTATTTTGGACAGTATGACTGGTTAACTCCACTTGGACAGCTTGAGTAGGTCATAAACACATAGCCATTATTATGAACGGTTAATAGTCATTTCGACGAAGGTTAGAGCAACCCTTATAAGGACTACTGAAGGGGCAACCCCATGTACTGTCAAATTTGTTTTGGCTATGAAAAACATAAAATATTAGAGAAGATAAATACATCAAAAGTCGATAGAATTTTGTCCTCAGCATTGTTTCCCAATCATCTACATTCTCTTGTCATACTTAAATAAAATGATATTGGAAATGATAGATGTGTAGGATTTATGGGAAAGGGAGAAAGGAGAGCATAGTCCATACCTAACAGGCTTTGGTCCTACGAGGAATTATTGGGATATGCACATAAATGTGAAATATATTCTTTATTGGCATGTATACATATATTACTGATATACACATATTACTAATCTCTGCTTCAGCAAGTATTATCAGTTAACAGGCTAAGCAGCACTTTAGAAAAGATTGAGGAAGGCATTCTCACCTATCCGCATTGAGTGCATACTTTGATAATTCAATCACATACAGACTATGTAATTAAGCTTTCAGAAAGATTGGATTAAAATATAGCATATTAGCAGAGTATAATAGGCATTTTTTCTTTTGTCTTTTACTTGTTATATTTTCTAAAGAATTCCAATGGTTGTAATAAAAATTTAAAAACCTAATATCAAATGAAGTATCTTGCAGAGATGTGCTCACTTCTACTGTTGACGCTAGCATTCAAACTGTTTCTTTTACTCTCCTTCAGAAACTGTTCTTGAACTCAGAAATGAGAATTAATTTGTCCTTCTTTATGTTCACGGCCATTTTTATCCCCTAATATGACTGTCTTTGGTGTGTTGTGTTGGGCATAACAAAATATCACTCAACCAGAAGAGATTAACTTTCTCACAGTTCTAGAATCTGACAGTAACACGAGGGTACTGGTACAGTGACATGCTGGTAAAATTACCTTTTCGTTGTGAAAAGAGAGGGAGAAGGCAGGAGGGAAGAAGGGGTGGAGATTTCTCATCTACTGCTTAAAAAGGCCACTAACCATATGGATAATGGCTTCACCCTTATGATTTCAACTTTATCTTTTTAAAAGCTATGTCATCTAATATAGTCACATCATGGATGAGAATTTCAACGTAGGAATTTTGCAAGGATACAAGTCAGTCAACAGCTATGAGCCAGCTTGATAATCCACTTTAGTTGTTTATTTTTTATTGA